AGTCGAAAGATTAGGGACAAGGGAATGTCCGATACGAGTATGGCTAGGACCATTAGAATTGGGGTCAATTGCAGTGTCCACAAGTGGCAACAAAGAGGCAGTTACATAACACCTTAACATATAAAATGTCCTAAGTTCTCCACACATCCAATCAGTGCGGATCCATCCGCATTAAAGACAGCATGAAGTCGGGTAAGCATCGATAGGATGGGCATCAGTCGAATTCTTTACGAGGAATATCCTTTGCAGTTCGAGTAAACTTGGGACTCGTGCTCCTGTTCATTTGCACGGTACAGAGCCAGGCCCAAAAACAGGACTATCCTCCTTGCGATTCGGATTCTTTTTGCATTTGCAGGGACCATCAGGTGGGCGATCTGCTGCCCGACTGCGATGACTGTTCAGGGTACATCTACTGCGGCCTGGACGTCATACAGAAGTTGAAATGCAGCCAGGGGGAGATCTTCGACAGCAGGCTCAGTGCCTGTGTGCCTGGAACGTGTCCTCGCAGAGATTGTACAAATAGCGTTCTATTTCCAATGCACCCAGCAAAGCCCCCTAAATGCTCCAACAAGGATGGGGTCAATTTGGATATATTTTGCATTTGCAAGGACCATCAGGTGGGCGATCTGCTGCCCGACTGCGATGACTGTTCAGGGTACATCTACTGCGGACTGGACGTCGTACAGAAGATGAATTGCAGCAAGGGGGAGATCTTCGACAGCAGTCTCAGTGCCTGTGTGCCTGGAACGTGTCCTCGCAGAGATTGTACAAATACAGGAAATCCAGGAGACCCAGTTACACCAGCTGGCTGCACCAATAAGGAGGTGAACTGCAGCTTCCATGGCCAGATCCTGCCCCATGGCCAGCACTGCCGCTTATTCTGGACCTGCGTGGAGGACTGCCCCATGCTGGGTTTCTGCGAGCTGGGGATGTGGTTCGACCGGGAAAAATTCGTGTGTGATTACCCATATAATGTCAGGAACTGTCCGATCAATCAGGATTAGCTTGATCCACTGTAAATCCCATTTACAATCCAATCTAATCCAGTCAAATTCAATAAATATGTGTCACGGCAAATCGAGGCTGAACAATTCTCATTTCAACGGTCATTAGACTGCAATTGTCCTAATGCACTGGCAACATTCAACAGCCAACAAGCAGCCGCAGCAAACAGCATTGCGATAATTTACGCAAATTGCATGACACAATTTTGTTGGTTGTTAGTTTTAGTTTTAGTTGTTGCTGGTTTTCGCCCCTAGCGGGTGGGCGGTGGCTGCGTGTGACTTGTTGTTGCTGCCGCTGCCGCTGCCGCCGGCATAAAGCAACAAATTTAGCACGCAACTAACAATTTTAGCTGTTCCAGATACTCCGACTCACACACATACACACACACACACACACAGGCACACCCAGGTGCATATGGAACACAAAAAAACAAACAAAAGAAGCGGCTAGAGCTATTTAGTCTGCGACACAACGAAACCCCAATACACTTTTTGATTTGAACTAATTGAAATTCCGGGAAATATCTCTAAAAATGTAGACTTCAAATACAACGAGGATCCCCCCTGTTAAAAGAACTTTCGTTAAACTTTATCGGGAATATATATGCATGAGGAGAAACACCATTGGAGATTTAAAACATTTTAAGAGCTGCTGATCAGATAAAATGGTATTTCCCTCATATTCTGTCTTTTATTAGGGTATCCACGAAAGACTCCTCAACTCTGTAATTCTTTTCCTTGTTTTTTGTATTCGTCGAACGGCGAGCGGCAAACAAACAACAAACTTTCACCCGGCAGTAAGCCGCAGCATTTTGGACAATTTCGTAACTGGGTAAACACACACATACTCTCCAGCTCTCACAGACACACACTCACACTGATACTCCCATGCAGTCATGCAAATGTAGAGTGCATAAAGTGCAGGCAGCGACGACAGGTGAACGAACGACCTCAAACGAGGTCAGGCAGCAGCAACAGCAGAAGCGGCAACAGCAGAGGCACGGGGTCGGGGACAGGGCAGGGCAGGGCCATTCATGCGCACGCTAAAGCCCAAAAAAATATCAACTATACATTATATGTATATCCATCCACATAATCGTACATATGGATGTATGTATGTATGTGTTGCTGGAGCGCTCCGCCAGTTGGCCCTCTCTTCGCATGCTAATGGCCGCTGCTCCAGTCCGAGGGAGAGACGGTGGTTGGGGGTGGAGGGGTAGGAAAAGTAAGCTAAATGCGGGCAACATTTGGCCACTTTACGGCTGCTGCTGCTGCTGCTGATGGTGCTGCCACAGATTTTGGTGACCCAAATCCTTTTCCCCCTGGCCAGAAGTGGGAGCTTGGCTTGGCTTGAACCGCACTTGTATGCGGATGCCCTGGCTATGGTTCTGGCTATGGCCTAAACGAGTTTGCTCCCCCCCTACTCCCATCTTTCTCTCTTTCTTGGCCCACTCTTGGCCCTCTTCCGCCTCTGCTCCGCTCCCCGCCACTCTGCTCGTCATTTGGCTGCACTAAATCACTTAAGATGCTTTTAGCTGGCAGCAGCAACAGCAGCAGCAGCGATGGGAAAAAGTTTCAGCTTAGGCCAGCAATGCTCCACTTATTTATGTTGGCTCCCCTGAATGGGCCTGGTCCGGACATGGAACGTGTGTAATGGATGATGTTGACCTGAACCAAAGTGCCATCGTGCCATCGTGCCATCGAGCCAAGGCGTGCGATGGGTGTGCTGTGTGAGACTCTGTGGGTGGTGACAGGTGACAGGCGAATGTGGAGATGATACTGCTGGCCAGGCTCCACAAAGATTGAATAAGTAATGATGGGGGATTATGGGTGGAAAAAGAGTAATGTGGGTTAATTCTCTTATAGCGAAGAGGCTCCATCAGATATGTACTCCCAGTCCACTCGCACTCGTACGCTCAATGACAGATACTTCTCCATTATGGATTCACACTCATCCATCGATCCATTGAGCTGCTCTGCTCTGCTCCACTTCTCCCCAACTCAAACCGCTGCTCAAGCTCGCACTTTTCGAGGGCAGACTCCAGAGATTCGCCTTTGAAATCTGCAAAATCAATGGACACAAGTATGTACGAGTGTGGTGCGATGGGCAATGAGCCGCTAATTGAAAGCACCTCAAAAGAAACAGAGCAAGAACGCCGAGTGCCCGCCACAAGCAATTAGCGTTGACTGCGATTTGAAGGTGGCATCCACGTCTGCCCCATAATGCAAATCCAATGCTGGACAGCCACCACCCCACAGCCACTACTGGGAGTGGTGTGTGTTTGTGCCATAGTTATATTATGCCATAATTAATTTACGAGCTGTGACAATTAACGCCAACGAAACGCCAAGTCTTTATGGCTTTTGTGGTGTGTGGGTGGGCGTTGAGAGGCGTGACTCTCGGGCCAATGAGAACTCCAAAGTGTAACTGTGACAAGGTTGGTGCGTGGTCAGGGGAAAACTCTGGCCCAGAAATACAGCAACCGTCCGCTAACGACCTCTGATCCTTCATTCTTGTGGGGAAATATGTGGGTCAGTGTGCTGTTGGCCAGTATCGGCTAATGGCCATCTTTCACTTTGCATGATGCTGTGGCCAGTGCTTTGCGTGATCAAGACTTTTCCGGCATCGGCCACGGCCACGCTGCGTATGCGCAATGCATGCGAAGTTTCTTTCACTTTAGCTGCTTTATTTTACGATATTATTTGTCTTGAATGCTGACGCATAGTGGCCACACCACACCACTGTAGAGCAGGGCAGGGACAGCGGAGGGGCTGGGGCAGGCTTTCGTCATTTGGAAACCATCGCCACGGACGCCGCCGGCTACCGAACGGACCACAATAACAAGACAAAGCTGAAGAAATACACACAGAAATACACATATAAGGCGAAAAAAAGAAGCAGCAACAGCAGCAGCAACAACAAAATCACTTGCCTCCGTTTTCATATTGAGCACAGTGGGTCAATGTCCCACTGATAAAGTGAGCGTGGTGCCCGTGTCCGCCGACCAGCCACAGCCACAGCCACAGACAGTAACAGCCGCAGCCGCAGCGCCAGCGCCAGCTGAAAGCCAGCAACTGGAGCAGCTGCGTCTGCTTTTGCCCGTTGTCTGTCTGTGTGTCTGTCTGACTGTCAGACTGTCTGCCAGCCAAATGCGATTTTAATTAATAAAACATGCTCAGACGCGAGTATTTGGTTGCACAAAGGAAATTTCATGTTGTGCAATTTACGAAAAGAAAATTCAAATGGCCAAAAAACCTCAGGCTAATGAACATCACTTCAAAATGCGAAATACATATATTGAAATTGAAATATTTTCCCCCGACAGACGGCTGCTTGCCTTTCCATTTCAACAAGTTGTAGGACACCGAAATTTTCTAGTTGATAGCATAGCAATGTTGGCAATTTGCTACAAAGCCAAAGCCAAAGATACATATGTATCTACCGGTGTGTGACGCATTTATAAGATTTATGCGTGTGCCAGTTCTCTTTTCCATTGCTGGGGATTTGAATAAATACTATACCTATGTATATATAAATCTGTATGGGATGCCAGAAGTGCTATCATGTTAATATTAATTGACTATTTTGTAGAGAAAACTATATATTTAAATGGGAAATAGTTTTGTGACTAATCTGCAGAAAAAAACAAACCGAACTAAAAGTAATCGTATTCATGCTCTATCTAGAAGAAAAAACACACTTTTAAACGTTATATTAATACATTTTCTAGAAGATTAGGTATTTCTTAAAAGAGTTGTAATTTCACTGCATTGTTTTTAAGACGATTCTAAAAAGATTAACACTTTAAATGCCTATCCCTATTGGAGGTCAGGCATGCCCCCAACTCGGGTATCTACATTATTTATACATGTATTCTACATGAATCATACATGATTTCTACACGTATTCTCGTACGAAGTTCAAAAATGTTGCATAGTTTCGGGCTGTTTCGGGAAAATATACTTTACCACTATACCACTACCTTTCTCTTACAGCTGTACGTTATGGTCGCGTTCCCAAGCGATCCCGTGAGTTGAACGGAGCAGGGTCCACTGCAGGAGGATCTGGAGCCACTTCCACATCTGGATGCCCTTTGTTGGCCGGTGCGCCGCTAAATGTGGATGATTCCACGGTGAACAATTTGCATACAAATCAACTGCAGCCACAGCAACAGCAACAACAACAACAGCAACAGCAACAAATATTACAGCAGCAGCCGCCGCACGTGAACAGCGTCCGTGTGAAGACACCGAGTACACCACAAACGCCACAAATGTGTTCGATTGCCTCCTCGCCATCGGAGCTGGGCGGTTGCAATAGTGCCACCAACAACAATAACAACAACAACGGCAGCAATGCCAGCGGGGGTAGCGGCGTGGGCGTGGGCGTTGTAGTTGTCGGCGGACACCAGCAAATGGGCGTGGGTGCCCATACCGATGTCGGTGGCCATCAGGTGACCATGTGCCACGACGGCATGGCCGGCACGGCCAACGAGCTGACAGTCTACGATGTGATCGTTTGCGTCTCGCAGGCGCATCGCCTCAACTGCTCCTACACGGAGGAGCTGACGCGGGAACTGATGCGACGTCCAGTGACGGTGCCACAGAATGGCGTAAGTACTGAAGCCCTCTCTTGTCAGCCTTGGCCACCTCCTAATGTATTCTCCCCTTCTTCTTTGTAGATTGCCACCACAGTAGCGGAGAGCCTGGAGTTTCAGAAGATCTGGCTCTGGCAGCAATTCTCGGCCAGGGTGACGCCTGGCGTCCAGCGGATTGTGGAGTTTGCGAAACGCGTACCTGGCTTCTGTGATTTCACGCAAGATGACCAGCTGATCCTGATCAAACTGGGCTTCTTCGAGGTGTGGCTCACCCATGTGGCGCGTCTCATCAACGACACGACTCTGACGCTGGACGATGGCGCCTATCTGACACGCCAGCAGCTGGAGATACTCTATGATGTAAGGAAATCCCCCTGACCACCCATGCATTGCGTATCTCTAATGTTGCCACTTCTTTCAGACCGACTTTGTCAATGCCTTGCTGAACTTTGCCAATACGCTGAATGCCTACGGGCTGAGCGACACCGAGATCGGCCTATTTTCGGCCATGGTGCTGCTGGCCTCGGACCGGACCGGACTCAGTGAGCCAAAGGTGATTGGACGGGCTCGGGAGCTAGTGGCCGAGGCGCTACGGGTTCAGATCCTGCGCTCCCGGGCCGGATCCCCGCAGGCGCTACAGCTGATGCCCGCGCTGGAGGCTAAGATCCCCGAACTGCGCTCGCTGGGGGCCAAGCACTTCTCCCATCTAGACTGGCTACGGATGAACTGGACCAAGCTGCGACTGCCGCCGCTCTTCGCGGAGATCTTCGATATACCCAAGGCCGACGACGAGCTGTAGGGGGGACACACAGAAGGAAGATTCCCGAGGCGCCCAGGGCCGTGCAAAGCAACCGCAACAAATATTCTACAACTTGTAGGCTTAAGAACTTAGCGTTAACAGAGAAGAGACGATGCGAAGAGGTAGTGGAGACAGCAGCATCCAAGATTAACTGGAATTACGAGTAGTTACCTAAGCTTAAAGGCATATTAGCAATGTTAAAGGCGTTCGCAGCGATTGAGACGATCGAAGATGGACTAGAACTCCCCGCTGAACATATCCATGCGCAAACATAAATTATTTATTTCATTGTTAAACCATCATCAAGCTCCACTCTGAACATCACATCATCCAATTCCCATCCTGTCCTGTCCCATCCGGCGGCACCCTCCTCGAGCAATCCCAGACCCCGCTCTAAGCACTGACTGGAGGATCCAACAATAACCATTGGCCAGCTAACCCAAGGCATCTATCTATACAGAACTCGACTGAAGAGCGAGCGTTAAAGTTCGATAAAAAGTTTTTTTTTAATAATCTTAAATTACTATTAATCGGATACGTTATCGGATATGATATACCATATACGTATGTATATGTACACCTAGAGATACGGACTTAGAATAGTCTGAAAGCATAAAGACCCATTTTTTTTTTTTTTTGCTTGAATAAGTTGAGGATTGAATCGATATAATATACGAGTACATATATAACTTGATATCGCAATCTGATAAACCAATGCCTATGATGACCGATGCGTTTATTGTATCTGCGTGTAAATAAATCTAAATTAACTTCTAACATTAACTTGCTGCGACTTGATTATTATTTATCCCCCAAAATGGCCCCAATCAGTTGCTCGATGATCTCTCCAGACGCAATCTCGGATAGATCGTCTACGGCAACAGCCTCCATTGAAAGTGTTCAGTTATTCACTTAAGATCAAAACTTTTCACATGCCTACGATTAAGATCTTTCGGTTAGAGAACCAATAGTTTAAGTGCTTTAAGGCTTCGTTTGTATAACTTGGAACAATCAAATTGTTTGATCAATTTTTGAATAGATTGGTGCTAAATTTGTGTGTTACGTTTACATTGAAATCAAATAAAAAAAAAGAACAGACAGAAATGAAACAGAACAAAACAAAACTAAACTAAACTAAACTAAATATATACATACCTACATAAAATCTATCCATATATCAAATATATGTCTGTAAAAATCAAAAAATCAAAAATGGATCCTTCTCTAAAGCTCTGCATTGATTGTTGAATTTATATAGAACAATATAGAATTTTGTACATTTTATTAGTGTGACAAAAGAAAATATTGAATGTAGAGGAAGCTACGATCCAGAGCGATCGTTCGGGCCCTCGACTGGGCGTAGCTACCATTTTATGCTCCATGTGTACCTTTCGCTTATTGAATTAGAGTATCGAAAATCAATATACTATATATACGTACATACATACATATATATAGACTATGACTTGCAATATCTTAGAAGAAACACACACCACTTAATATGCTAGCACAGATTTTATTAAGTCTCCTCCCGCTTCGACAATATTCGACCCCATGACCTTAGTTATGATTTCAAAGCAAACCCAAGTCCAACCTAACAAATCTCTGTGTTAATTTTGTAAACCAGTGCGCATAATGGAACTTTGTGAATGTAGCATTAACAACAACAGAACAACAAGAACAGATTTTTAAATTACCTAATTAACTTATACATACATAAAATACATATATGATATACATATACACATACGAGTATATATATTATAATAAATATATAGATACAATTTTTTACCTACTGTAGCTTTGATTACATTTTTCAATGATGTGTCAAATTTTAAATGGTATTAACGATAGTCCATAATACTCGAACTCTCTACAACTACAGCGCATAAATAAAGAAAGAAAAATTGATCAAATTTGAAAATTGACAAAGAACAAACGCCGACATCCTACGAACGACCGAAAGCTCTCGCTCATCGCTCCACTCGAAATCAAATACAGTGCAAAAAAAAACGAAATATGCCAGATATACATATTTATGTATACGTATGAATACTGAAAATATATCAATATCCAAAAAAAAAGCATTGCTTAGGAATACACACCCATAAATGAGTCGGAAACCATTCAACCACGCTATGCCCTGTATCCCAGAGAACACTTAAATTTACATGAGAGCCTATTACAATTTTGGTCTGGAGTACAGGGTATGAGCTCCATAAAGATATGAGGCAAGCTCGCTTTACTAACATACTAAGAAATAGGAAAAAACAAAAACAATATTCATAACACTAAGCCGCAAACAAATTACAGCAACAAATAAGCAAAAGACGATAAGAACACTGCAAAAACTAATCTGAATGAAAAACATACGCAGATTGTAATAAAATTACAGAAAAACAAACAAACAAGCAAACGTCTTTGAATAAATCGATAGACATCTGTAGAATAGTACACTCACCATTCAGAACAGACGACACGATACGATGTATGTATGTTGATAATATAGATTACTCTATACATGAGTTTTATTTGGAATTTTTCATGAGTAAACAATTTCGCATTATAGTTTTAGGTACACGGTCGGTATAATTCAAATGCATATTAGTTAGTACGGAATGGATTTACCATTTACAAGTAGATTGGCTAGTCGTCACGAGGCTGGGGATGGAACTGAGTGAGCACCTTTGAGATATCCTGGGCCAGCTTGGGCGAGGCGGCGGCCAGAACACGACGTGACATAATGTCAAACTCTCCGCCAGCGGGATCAATAACAACGCCGCCCGCCTCGCGCACTATCAAGTCGCCGGCACACACATCCCAGGCATGGATGCCAAACTCGTAATTGGCATCTGCGGCGCCCAGAGCCACCATGCACATGTTCAGGGCAGCAGAGCCCAGGACGCGCAAACTATTCGAGAGAAAATTTAACGAAAAGCCAAAGTATGACGTTCTATGAGAACTTACCCGTGCACTTGCTTGGCCATCTTGGCGAAATTCTCGTTAACCACCTCCATTTTGGCCTCGTCGCGAGTGGTTCCGAACTCACTGGTAACCAGAGCCTTGCCCAGCTCCTGCTGGCCACTCACATGGATCCGACGTCCGTTGTAGAAGGCGCCATGACCACGACGGGCTGTGAAGAGCTGCTCCAGTATGGGATTGTACACCATGCCGATCTCCGTTACCTTGTTAACCTTCAGACCGACCGAGATGCATGAATGGGGAAAAGCATGAACAAAATTCATGGTACCATCCACAGGATCAATGATCCAGGTGGGCGCATCGGTAAGCTTGTTAACACCGGCTCCAGTGCTGCTCTCCTCCTCGCCAATAAACCTGCAAAAGAGTCAACATTACCATATCGTTTTCCTGCTCCTTCCTGCTTGCGTGTACTTGTGGTCGGGAAAGTGCCGACGAACGACATCCATTAGGAGCTTCTCCACATCCTTGTCCGTCTGGGTGACCAAGTCAATATCTCCACTCTTGCACACAAACTCTTGACGCGTCTCATTGTTGCGGGCAATCAACTGCAAGGGAAAATTCCATCGCAGGAAAGTTTCAAGTGTTATTTCCACCACTTACGCGTCCAGCCTCTGTCACGACGTTGCTAATGACTTCGAAGCACTTCTCCAAGTCCACGTTATCGCCCATTGTGTGGTGTTTCGCCGCGTTCGCGTTGTAGAAACAGAATGGAGCTGTTTTCGGCGTTATAATTCGTTTTAATTTAATTAAGAACATGCGATCAGCTGAGTGGACTTAGCGATAAAATATACCGTCCGACTCTCAGAAATATACCAAAATATACCGTCTCATTCAAGTTCTATATTCCTCGATTTTTATATTCCGTCGAACATTATTAGCTAGATAGAACATTTAGCCCTGCTCACATAATTTTTTTCGATTAATGAATCAATTTTCTACTTGGCCACTTTGTTTTGAATACTTGACTTGTTTTCTTGCTACGGCGATTGCTGTTCCTCAATATAGCGTCGTATGATGACAAAACCGAACTTAGCTCACTTAAGCCCCCTCTTTTTAAATAGTTCAACTACTTCGGATAAATACTTCAGATATAACATTAAGCCATGCCCACATAGTTTTTTACGATTGATAAATCATTTTTCTATTTAACTGGCTTATTCTTAATACTTGCTATTATTGGATTTTGCGTCAAAAAGGTTATAGCGAAATAGGTAAAAAAAAGGTTTTAGCGAAAATGGGCAAACAAAACAAACGAAGGATAGTCGTTCATATTTCTATATTTTGATATTCCGTCGAATATTACTAGCTAGAAAGAACGCCCAGCTATGCCCACATAATTTTATACAATTAATGAATCTATTTTCCACTTGATTGGTTTATTTTAAACTCTTGCTTTTGTTGGATTTAATCCAAAAAAAGGTTTTACCGAAGAAGGTCAAACAAATAAACCGTAAGAGAAAAATCGTTATTATTGCTCAATTTTGATATTCCGTTGAAATATTCTGGCTAACTTCTAGTTATAATTTTGGGCCATTGATGAATACATTTTCTACAAGATTGGCTATTTTTAAGTACTCCCATTTATTGTATTTCGACTAGAGCAAGGTGTAAATAAAAAAGGTCAACAAAAAAACAGTGGCAACAACGTCAACAGGAGTTTGGACATAGCTATACCCTATTTCTGTTTTAACACGTTGCGTTATCGATAACTAACGTTTTGAAATGGGATTTGAACTACATTTTTATTCCATTTATATTTAGTTAGTAACTGAATCATTTATTGGCTTAGACTTATTGGTTAGCAGTCACTGGTGGTTTGGATCGGGTCGGCGACTCACTACTCGAGACTAGGGAATCGGATGAGTCGGTAAAGTCAGTTTGTGCGATAAAATCTTTAGTCTCGACTTTCGGGGTTTTGGATATTGGCTGGTCGTCGCGTGGTGAGGGATAGCTTTGGTCCAACTGATCGGATAATTCTCTGGCCAAGGGCATGGAGGCGGCTGCTAGACAGCGCCTGGACATGAGGTCCAGCTCACCACCGGCAGGATCGATAACGACTCCACCGGCTTCCTGAACCAGGATCACGCCCGCTGCCATATGCCAGATGTGCAGACCAAAGTAGTAGAATGCATCGGCAACTCCCGAGGCAACCATGGCCAGGCCCATGGCCGAGGAGCCAATGGAACGCATCCTGCAATCAAAGAGATGGGACATGGTCTTCGATCCTGGACCTTGTTGGTTGGACTTGGAATTGGACTACTTACGCATGGGTCTTCTTGAGCAGACGCTCGGTATTGCTGAGGACAATCGTATTGCGATCTTCGTTTATTCCCGTGCTGTACTCCTGTAGGACGAGGGAATGCTCCAGACTCTTCTGCCCGCTTGTCCTGATGGGCGAGTCATTCAGATAAGCGCCCTTTCCCCTACGGGCCGTGTACATTTCGTTCATTGGTGGATTGTAAATGATACCGAACTCGGGCTGCTTATTGATTATCAGAGCCACTGAGATGCAGTAGTAGGGAAAGCGGTGCACGTAGTTCATCGTACCATCAATAGGGTCGATGATCCAGGTAGGTTCATCTGTGAGCTCCACCTGGCCAGTATCTGTCTTGGATATGGCCTCCTCACCAATGAATCTACGAAGAGGGATACAGTTGACCTCTTGCACGTAGTGGTAGACCTGAACTTACTTGTGGCTTGGATACCGCGCGCTCATCTCTCGTATGAACTTCTCCTCCACCTCGTTATCGGTGCGGGTCAGGATATCGTGGTCATGCTTTTTGGTTGTGTACTCCTGCCTAACCTTGTTCGCTTCCAGCGCCATGACACCCGCCGCCTTCACCTGTTTGCTGGCCACCTTGAAGAGCTCAGTCAGAGAGGGTGTCTCTGTCAACGCCATATCACTTCCACTATTTTCTAGAGAACCTTTTTCATACGGTTTTGGTGTTGCTGTCCCCGCTATATGGCTTTCACTAACTTCTTTATGCATTAGCGGTTTCTTTGTCGCTGGTACATCATTAGCTTCTGTACTAACATTTTCACTCTCATCTGGCAGGGGTTTAGTGCTTGTCCTTGTCCGAGTAAACTCCTTCGACGGATCGATGGTATAGTCGGTGTTAACCCTCTTGTTGTTATCCGGTTCATCCTCCGGGTCTTTCCATTCATCTATCGGATTACTCCTACATGGCAGACCGCAAGCCGGGCTGCAAGTCGTCTTACCGCGTGGCTGTCCTCTTCCTGGCAGAGGACAAGCACCCGTAACACAGCCACTACTATAAATTGTGGGCGGTGGCATTCGCACGTCCTCCGGCCTCAGAGGTGGTGCAGGTATATTGGGATTTTCTGGCTTCGGTTGTGTAGCTTCTAACGCAGCTTCTTTTTTTTCCAAAGGTGGTGCAGCTGGTGAAGGTGGTGAAGGTGGTGAAGGGGGTGAAGGTTCCGCTTTCTGTGTTGCTTCTGCCGGCTGCACTACCAGTGGTTGTCTCTGTATATCCGCCTGTGATACCGGCTGTGATTGCAGCCGTGACTGTGACTGCGATACACGTTCCTTAGTTGCCTGTTTTTACGGTGGGCATTATGGGAAAAGTTCTTGGCAATACAAAAGATAGCCTTACCTTTGGCCTTCGCTCGGATTTCATGATGCGCTCCACCCTAGGATCCTGAGCTGTGGCTCTAGTGTCCTCCAAGCCGAAATCCGTGGCAGCATTGTAGGGCTGTTTATCGGAATGGGGCTGTGGTTCTATCCGAGATTCATAATGAGGGAGCGGAGACATTGACTGCGATTCAGGTTCGGTCACTGGCACAGATTCGGTTTGCAGTGTTGGGGTAATCGCAACTTGAGGCTGGGGCGTTACTGGAGCTCTATGCTGAGACGTAGCACGCCTGACCGATCTGCCACTCTGCGTCGACAGTCGCCGCGCGTCGTCAGCCTTTTTCAGAGCCGCCACTCGTGGATCCTGCTGTGTGGCTATATGGTCCTCCAGACCAAATTCTGTGGCTGCATTCGTGGGCCGTGGGGTTTCTTTACTGTCATTTTTCTTCTCGTCTTGGTCAGCCATTCTGCTGATCTGGCCACTAACTATTTCCCCACTGCCACCAAAAAGTCGCACGCCTAAGCAGAGCCGAAAATTTTGTTCGTGTTTGTGTTAGATGTTTAGACTGGAATGCTCATTCTGGAAGTGTTATTCCAGGCCAATGAGATCGCCAATAGTAGAACATACGAGTATCTATGAAATTCGAATCGTTAGCAAACTAAACTAAAATGAAGAAATGATCTATCCGCATATATCTTTCGTATATTCATATCCAAACAGATTGAAACAATAAACTTTATTATACACGTACATACGTAGATATACACATTCATTTATATGTATGTACCCCGATAAATATATACTCGTATATGTATATTTAGACCTTGCCAACACTCTGTAAAACTAACAAACTTTTTACACCCGTTCTAGGGACAGCTGCAGCTGCCCCACCCATAGTCTCATTCATCATTCATGATCCATCTTCCATTATCCTCCTGATAGGTAGATCTCAATTAACAACAATAATAATCAGTATAATATTTATAGGTTTGCAGCAGTAACGTCAATGATATGTTTCGTTGCAGTAAGTCTTCAGACCATATAACACATACATAAACATATGTATATAGTAATATACTCGTAGATTATCCCAGTAGTGTTTCGCTATAACTATTGTAAGTAGACTCTATGTAGGAATGATATCAAGCTTATATGCCCCACTGATATGTATCGTTTACAATCTTATATTATAAAAGAGGGAAAAAAGGGACGCAGGGACAAGTTCCGGACTTACGTGTGGGCCTGCATCGTGGCTGAAAAATGTGTGAGGATCGAACGAAGGAAGGAAGGAAGGGCACAAAGATACATACATGCTACAAAGTATAAGAACATACAACTGAAAAGTGGTGATAGGTGTGTTTTTTGTGGCTATAACTGGAATCGTGTATATATTTTGTATCATATCAATTCTACTAAACATACATACATAAGTGTAAAGATATATAATTAAATTTGTATCACAACGAATTAGCAAGAACTTAGGCTACGACTACAACAAAGAAAAAAAAAGAACTGCAAAAAAATAAGTGTGTGTGTGTGTGCGTGCTGAGCATGTTTACCTACGGTGATTGGGCAATGGCAATACACAGAGAGAGATACATAGATCGCATCCCACAAGCAGGGGGATCCGGCAAGATCTCTATTCCGTTTCCGCCCGCCAACGTCTTACTTACGCACACGTCTTAAGAACTAAGTAGAATTTAGAAAGAGTTAACCACGCCGAAACCCGGAACTGAACGGGACCAACATTTAGCATTAAGTATACACTACATATATAGGTAGGTATATCTGTAGGGCGAGATTTACAGGACACGTAATGGGGATACGTATAAGCACTGGACTAGTGTCCAGGGCCCGGGGGCTGAAATGCGTCAGCGTAGGACAATGGCAGAGTGAAGGACAAGTCATAGAAAGCCTGGTAGTGAGGGGGGATAGCTGGGCCATCTACTTGGCCTCCACGGGTCGATTGGCAAACAGCTGCTCCACAATCTGCTCATCAGCCAGGGTCGAAGTGTCGCCCACGTTGCGATCGTTTACGGCAATCTTGCGGAGCACACGGCGCATTATTTTGCCGGAGCGGGTCTTGGGCAAGCCAGGGGCATTCTGGATAACATCGGG